AACTTTCCAATATACTTTTCGATATAGATTTGTCCCTAATTAATTTAATATTAATTATTATTCTACGGAATGTTTGAATTATTGTCAAAGACGCCATTGGTTTTTCATTAATTACTATCCTCTACGCAATTAATTTATGAAACTTTATGCACTCGTTAGAAAGACAATGTTCTTGCGAATTTTCTCATATAACATTTGATCACATTTTGCTTCTAGTTTCGTTTAGTAATAAATATTTTCACGGAAGGTCGCGATGGTCGTCGTTACGAAATCATAGACGCCATAAAACAAAAATTAATAACCAACAATTTAGAGTTAAATTCTTTACGAAAGTTATATAGGAATGTAGCCTGAAGTTCCAGCTTTGCACCGAAATTATAAAAGTTCACAAATTGTTTACTGAAATTGAGTAATTAATAATTTTTCATTGCCGGGGCCATTTTATCCTTTTCTAACCTCGCTCTGTCCTTGTCTGTCACGTGACCAGCAGTTCGTTGACCTCCTTGCCTATTCTATATTCCTATCACTTTCTTGATATTTGAGCCCAAATCATAGATGGCGCTGATCGAAACTATTGAATCAAAAACCACGTGCCCCGTTGGGCGGGAGAAACAAAATAATAAAAGGACATAAGTAAGTATAACACATTTTTCTTCCTTTTTTTTATTCTCTTAATAGCCCGTTGAACATGAAGTCATAGGTGAAGATGCGTTGTTTCATTCGTGGTAAAAAGAAAACGAAACTTCAATGGGTATATGTTAATGTACCTTTTATTCACTTTGAAAGTTTCACATATACATGTTAATTGTTAACCATATAATAAATAATGACAAATAGACATTAGAATCTGAGTAGAGGTCCGTATCACGGACCGTTAAGAGGAAAAGACGTTTCGTAATACATACCACGTAATAATTATCATTATAACGACCATATATATATGTACAATATTCATAGACATATGATAAATGATTCTATTCGAATACATGAGTTATCCTAATAATTCTTGATATTTCTCATCGTGCATCTCCTCGGCTTTCTCTTGTGCTAAACCTCATAAGAAGTTTTTTATTCCCTATTCATTTTCCTTTATATCCATATAATCTTCAGCATCACCTATTTTATAATTTTGTACTTTCTTCGGTTCCTTTTTCGTATCTCTCAATGTATTTTTTATCCTTTTCTTCATTACTCTGAAAATATAAATATAAGAGACAGTCAATAAAAATTCCTACTTTCTATAACATAGTTATAATGTAAACAATAAACTAACTCTTTCTCTTTCTTTACAACTTCTAATTCTTCTTGAGTTTTTACTTCGGCGTCACTTTCCCAATCGCTACTGCAGCCTTCCTTCCTTTTTTTATTTGCAAGTCCAGATGGTTCAACAGCTGGTTGTGAGCTTAATTTTGGATCAGTTAAATGATCATGAGCTGATTTGCCCTTACCAGTAAACTTTTTATTTAATATCACAGATTCTTCTTCATCTTCCTTTGCTTCTCCACCAAATGATAAAAGATTCAAATCTCTGTAACACAATTTTTCGTTGTAAAGAACAATACTATCAGGACTAAATTCTGCAAACATATATGATTTTTACTTTACTGCTGCTGTTTTAGTTTTTTAACTGTTCTTTACTTCTTCACTTTCCTGTACTATTATTCTTGGTATAATATCAGAAAATGGATTGTTCAATATTATAGATTTTTACAATCTTGGAGGATACAGTAGTTTATCATTCTACAAAAAAGAGGAAATATAATATTTATACCATTCTTTGACATATTTTCTTACAAACATTAAATTTACCACATCTACAGGTGCTTCTTCGAGTTTAAGCATACTGTGTATAGATTCTCCAGTAACTCTACCAAAGATTATATGCTTATTCTACAGATCTAGTGTAGAACTAACAATAAAGAAGAATTGGAAACCATTGTCATCTTTTCCAGCATTAGCCATAGCAATTAAATCTTGTCGACAAAAACGTAATCGTGTATGGAATTTGTCTTAAAACATGTATATCCAATAATTATTTTTGAATAAAAAAGGGAGTTATTTAATTTTTAAATATAGTCTCACTTTAAATGGTTCTCCATATATTTTACCACTTTCTCCTGTACCTGTGGGATCACCACCTTGTGTGTGAAATATAGCATCATCCCAATAACCTTCCATACATAATTGTATGAAATTTCTATATGCCTTTGGAGTTTCTTTTGCTCATAATTCTGATTCAATATCACCAAGAGTTATTTTCATTATAACCTAGTTAGGCCACAACTCCACTTGAAAGCTATTGGAACTAAATCTATAATTAAAAAAGTAATAAAAATTTAATCGGAAATATCTCAAAAATTATTGAGTAGTTGCGGCTATAATGATATATATTCTTGAACTTCATAACGATATTTATAAACTTGTAAAGTTTCAACTAAATTCGTGATCCGAGGGCTTGCACTTTCTTTGTTAGTCTATACTCAATCGGTAACATTGAAAGTGTCAATGGGTTCTAATATCTCCGAAACGTATAATACAAAAATGTTATTCTGTATCTCGTTTATGATAATATGTAAGAGTGGCTTTTCCCATTACTTGCTGAAAGATATGATTATTTCTTTGTCCATCTTCTAAATTGTATAGAGCATGACGGAACTACAAATATTTGTTGTCCGATCGGTAATTAAAACCATCAGATGTGAGGTTCCATTAGATGATAAGTCTATCTTATATATCATCTCTGTTTGAGATCTCTGTATGATCACATGGTCTACCAGTAACAAATAATTACGTAAATGTGAATAACATACAGGAGAGTTTCTTTTGGCAGTACTAAATTTTCATCATTCTAAGGATCTATTTCTTATAGACTAAATGTTCCTATACATTATGGTTTTAAAAAGTTAGATCCCAAATTACTAAGAATTTAACGAGGTACGTATACATTTATTTACATATACGTATATGTAATTCCTACACACGTATATATATATGTACATTATTGTTTAATATATTTAGATTATTTCACCCAAAAAAATCAGTTAATTGAACAATGCATTTAAAATATGTCAAATACATTGTACGAAATCAAAATGTTTAAATAAAGATAATATTTGACACTTTGAACAGTAATGTCAAAATATTAATTTCATGCAAATAAAAGTATCTTCTATTCAGCAGAAATAATAATATTCGTTTTCAAATAATTCCTTTGTTCACACATTTTCTCTCTCTCTCTCTCTCTCTCTCTCTCTCTCTCTCTCTCTCTCTCTCTTCTGTGTTTATTATGTTAATATCTAAAAACAAAACTTTTTTAACGATAAACCGTGAAATTTTACTAGCATTCGCCATATTATCACGTGACAAAATTTCATAATTATTATGTCATAGAAAAAACACGAATAAATTTGCGCCAAATTTGCTTGATTCAAGTTAACCTGTGTTATTCAACAAAAAAACTCTATTAAATATCGTAACTCTGTAAATTTCTTTTGCAATTTTCAACAGTTATTTTTACGTATAATATAATACTGTAAAAATTAAAATTTCCAAAGTTCGTAAATTAGTCATACTTTTAAATAGAAATGTAATGTCTATTTTAAGTTGTGGGTAATGTGTTCATGGTTTATTTATATCATTACTGTACTGCATTTCCAGTTAACCGACTATTGTGTACAAAGTTACATTATTTATATTGTACATATAAAATGATATGTTAGATCCGAGATATTAAATAGTAAAATCATGGATGAAATTTGGTTCCATTTAACAAATCAGTATGAGATATTTCAGGTAATTGCGATTTTCAGAAGCATTCATATTTATTCACTCCATTTTTTCATTTTTTGTTTATAACCTACATAATATATAATATTACGATATAATAAACCTAACCAACAATAATTTATTTAAAAAAACATTTGTAAGACTAACAGTAGTAATAGTTATATTAAGAATAATATAGTTAAATTTCATTCGCAATAAAGTATATCACTAATTGTAAGCCATTTTTATTAAAACCCAAATTATCAGTACAAAATTGTCATAACAAAAATGTCGTTGTTAATTGTGTATTATATTCATTCTTAAATACTTTAAATTCTTGAATATAATATATTGGCCTTTTCAATTTTAATATCATATATTGAATTTTTTGGAAAAGATTAAAATCTCATTACTTGTACAACAAGGACAACAATGGATTATAACGTGGCTGTCTCAAGCACAACAAGCATTTTACAAATTACATAGTTACCAAAACATTGAAAAACCTATTTGGTTTGATAAACTTTGGGAACAATTGCAAATTCAATATTATAATGCATATTTCAATGTCACAGGACTTTACAGACAAATAAAAGATTTATGTAGTAATGAAGGTACTAAAATAATTTTTTAAATTTTATTGTTCAATATTTATATTGAAATATTAAAATAATATTAACATATTTAAGTTATTAATAATTAAAAATTAATTTATTTCCTTTAGTGTCAAAGAAAGAACTTGGATTTTGTCTAGCAGGTTTATTACTGGGTACTCTAATTGGCTATTATGCTGCAGTTAATTGGGGATACATATCACACCATATACCATCTATAAAAGCTATCATATGTCATTACTACATTGGTATTGAGGTATTATATTAAACTAAAAATATAAATAATACTAAATACATTCTGATTTAAACACACAATTGAAATAATATTATTTGAGCATATATATTTATATTATAAACAATGTAGGGTGTGTCCGTGATAGATGATGCAAAAATGCCTGTAATTGAAAAATCCAATCAATTATTAATACAAGTTAAAGCAGCTTCTGTTAATGTTGTTGATACAAAAATTTGTTATGGTTATTCTAAAATTTACAGAAAACTCCTTAATACTGGTGTAAGTAGCCTAAAATGCCATCTTATTTTACTTTATTATCTAAATCAACTCATTAATTAATTTTATTTATTCACTTTTAGAAATACAAAGACTTACCAGTAATATTAGGCAGAGATTGCACTGGTATAGTAGTAGGTATAGGACGAAATGTTATTAATTTTGATGTTGGAGATGAAGTGTTCTTAGCTGTACCGTCATGGGCTCCTGGAACAATGGCAGAATACATAGTTGTCTTAGAAACTCAAGCAGTTAAACGACCAAAACTTTTTACTTTCGAAGCTTGTGCAAGCCTACCTTATAGTGGATGCATAGCCTGGGATGCTTTAGTTAATAGATCTACAATTCAAGAAGGCAATGCAAAAGGAAAACGGTATAAATGACTCTAAATAAAAATATTATATGTAAAAGTTATTTTTTGACATATGACATTCTATAGAGTACTCATATATGGCGGAAATACCTCTGTTGGTTGTATTTTAACTCAACTAGTTCAGCTATGGGGTGGAGATGTAATTACAATTTGTAGTCCAAATGCAATTATTGTATCAAAAGCTTTAGGAGCAAAAAGTGTTATACCATTAGATGGTACAAATATTGAAAAAGAATTATACTTCTATGGCAAGTATGTACAACGTAAAAATTATATACAGTATTGTCTTCTAATAAGTGACTCGCTCGGGGAACAAGACGTAGTTACAATGAAACAGGCTTCTATTTTTTCTATTTTCTCACTTGCAGCATGTCGCATTTTCCGATAACTACAATAACGAGACAAGACTGTAATGGAAAATAGGTCTAATTTATTCATAATCAATATTACATAATTGATACATTTTTAGATTTGATGCTATATTTTATACTGGAGGACAGTCAATTGATGAACGTATATTAAGACGATATTTAACATCTTGTGGTTCTTATGTCTCTACAGTCCCTGAACAATTAATATCTGATTCATTAGGTTTTATATTTGGAAGTATATTTGCTGGATGTGTACGAATAAAGTTACTAATTCAGGTATACAAAATTATGTACTTAACAATTTGATTCCAAATTCACTAGTAATATTTATATTTATTATAGTACATTCTTGGATTTGATATGCATCAGTGGAAAGAAGGTTCAAAGATTAATACAATGTACTTGCAAGCATTATGCGACTTAGCAGATGCTAATCAATTACAGATGATTGTAGACAGAGTATATAAACCTAATAACATTAAACATGCGCTGAATCACATACTAGATCCCAATGCTATAGGGAGTACTATAATAACATTTCAGTGACAACTGAATGCTGTACATAGAAAAATTTTCAATTATAGAAGTATTGCAATTTTTTTATTATTATCAATGTTATCAATATATACTATAAATAATATCCATAACGTTTAATCACTGCCAAATACCATCCAATATTAAAGTAAGCAAACAATATAATTAGGACATGTAATGTAAAAACCAAGACTGAACAAATTTTTTAATAAAAGTACCGCATGTACATAACTATATAAATTGTATCACTTTGAATTGTAATTTAATTGTTTATGTAAATGAAGAAAAATCATATAATGAAGTATACAACTTAAATGTGAAGTAATGGGTGGTATTATATGTATAATTAGCTTAGATGATATAATGAGATCATAAAATAAGTCAAGTACAAAAATACAGATAAGTACAAAATGCGACTTCTGAAACACAAATTCAAGATAAAAATAGATCTATGATTTAGAGAGTAAAGAGTTGAAACAAGTTCTTCCATTGCTGAGCAATGTTGACAGTGATTTATGAAAAGTTAAAATTCTTTTAAGTCTCCAAACCATTATACAGGATTTAGTGGTAGTTACAGAACTCAGTTGAATTTGAAACTTAAATAACTATATTTTCCATTTCTATTACTTAGCATTAAATATAAACAATTAATTTATGATTTCGTTATATCGTCAAAGCCAATTATACATAAAATGAACACAAAATATAAAATGTTATTTAGATACATATGATCTATTGTATCAAATAATTATAAAATTGCTTAAATATATTTAGTATGACTCGTAATACGTTGAATATTTATAGGCGATTTGTATGAAACAAACATTTGTATAAATATCAAGATACGAAGTTTGTAAATATTAAAAAATAAGTAAATAATCTAAATAATTATTTTGATCTTCCACGTGGTTTTCTCGTTGCACCTCTTTTGCTCTTTTTAGCTGCTCCTTTTGCGTCTTCAGCCTGTTTTAAAATATGATATAAATCTAACAATTTAACACGTTCACATTAACGTGTACTACCAGTGATTCATACTTGAATATCCCAATGGGCGACGCGTAGAGCAGAGAATAAATGAATTTAAAAATTATTGTTTCTACTTACTTTACGCTTTGATGGATTTGGATTTGGTAATACTTTAAAGAATGTATCTAATCTTCCCTGGGTAGAAGTATTTCGTGCTTTATGTAATTTTTTTGCTCCATTTCTTACTCTTTCCTCATTAAATTGTTTATCACCACATAGAAATTTCACTAAACCCTCTTCATCTGGTTCTGACCATTTCAGCTTTTGAAAAAATTAAAATGCCCATAAATATTAAGTATGAATACAGTAATACTTTGTTAAATTGCAATGAACCATTTCTATTTTTCTTTTTTTTATCACTCAGTGCTTCAATATTAGTAAAACCTGATAAGGTTTACAAGGAGAGAAAATTGGTAGAATAAAAAAATAGTGATATAGTATTAATATATGCTGCTATTAAAAAAAAGAGAGGTATACCAATTATATAATGTACATATTGGTACATCTATATATCAATGATAAGTTACTAAAGTTAATAAAATATTTAATGTTAAAATTTTGTTATAACAACTAATTCAACATTTTTAAAATAATACATATTTTTATAACTTATTTTACATATTAGGATATTATATAGTTTCTTACATCAATTGTTTCGGGATCCATTACTTCAGGTTCTTGAAATAATAATCGTGCTTGTTTGTAATTCCAATCTTCAGAAATTGAAAATTTTTTAGTATCTAAGTTTTCTATAATTTTTTCAAGTGACCTATGTGTCTTAATTAATTCAATTGCTCTTTTTGGTCCAATTCCTTTAATGCTATTTGTATAATCACAACCTAGCATTATACAAAGATCTATGAACTGTAAATAACCATAAATAGTAAATGATTAGTCTTTAGATCATGATTAATTGTGTTAAAATTTAGTTAAAAGTGAATGAAAAATGCTTAAATTTAACTTGATTACTATTGCAAAACATGTTTTTAATTTTTTGGGAATTTTTCAATTCTTATTAAATATATAGGAGTTAATAGCAAAAATATCACTTTTACATACTTCATTAGTACTTAATTCAAGACCTTCTAATACTTTATCATAATGAAATTCTTGTACAGGCATTTTTCTAGCTTCACTATATGTTAATCGTCGAAGTAAAATATTACACCCAAAAGTAAGTGCATCCATATCCTCTGTAGCAGTAGCAAACACTTTACCAGCTTTTACCAAAGCAGCACATTGTGCTTCAGCTTCACATGGAGCCTGTAAAAGGAATGTATTATAGGGAAATTTATGCTCAATTATATTTTATTTTACCTACATCGATATAAGGAATGCCCATCAACTCTAATAATTGTTTAGCTTCTCTTGAGTGTTCTTTTGTTGCTTTTACCAATCTTCTATTAAATTTTTCTATATCTTCTACATTTCCTAGAAAACATATGACAAAAAACTTTAGAATCATATATACAATTAATTTAATAATCATATATAAGTATTTATATAATAATAAATTACATGAAAAAAGAACAAATTATATTTAAAGTTCAATAATTAAATATTAAGAAATACCAGCTTCTTCTGCTGCCTGTAATAATTTTTGTGCTTCTTCTCTTCTTTCAGCCCGCTTTGCTAATTCTCCATCTTTTAAGTTTGGTGGTTTTCCATCAAATACATATACAGGTTTAATTCCTTGTTCTACTAAACGTATTGTTCGATAAAATATACCCATTAAATGACTACAATATAAAAAAGGACATTAAACAGTAGCACAAAATTATATAATAATTTATCAAATAAGTACCTTGTTGTTGTACCATCTACAGCTGTAAGCTGAGCACCTTCACTCCGTACTGCAATAAGAAATTGGTATAAACACATAGATGCATCAATAGCTACCTTACGACCTAAAATAGAAAATACAAATATAATATATATATATATATATATATAATTGTAAAAATTTATTGCAATACATAGTAATGCACAATGATTTATTCTGATTAAATATGTACCAAAATAATGCTTTAATTCTTGTTCTTTGATAGCATTTGGTGCTAAATCTGCTATCAATTTGGCTAAACCCAAAATACCCATGATGGTAAATCACTCAAATGGTAGCTGAGGTTTAAAACTGAGGAAACGAGTAACGTAAAGGAGATTTCGCGCCCATATTCCACGAAGAAAATTAAAGTTACTAGATATTCAATACATATAGAATTTTTAATATTTAAATCTATTTTATTACAATAATCATAATTATTATATAATATTAAACAATTATTTTTCTTAAATAATATAAAATATAAAATCAAATCATAAAAATCATATTTAATGAATTCAATAAACTTGAATTCGTGGCAGTACTACTGTATATTTGAAATTAAAATAAGATAATGTTATTACTTTAAAAAATAATAAATTATATTCTGCTATATTTGGAATATATTAAAATGGCATTAATGAAAATACATTATTTAACTAACACTTGATGATTTGTACACACGTATATATATATACGTTCATAGAGTATTGTTCCACGTGGTTCTAGTATTAGTTGTTAAACATAGTTTTGGTAATATATTTGTTATGAAAAATGGATAGCAATTGTGACTTAATAAAGACTATTGAAGATGATCAAGAAGTACCAAATTTCTCTGACGATTCCGATGTCGAAGATGAAGTAAGATATAATTAAACATATTATAGTATTGACTATTATTTTTGGTTAATTGGAAAATTATTATTTATTTATTATGTTACTATTACTTTGAAGAATAAAAATTAATAAAATAAATATAGTTTCAGCCCAGTAAACAAAAGAAAAAGGAAAATAAGGACTTCGATAACAATTTTCAATTTTTAAATGATGTTTCTGATTATAATAAAGATACATGGAATGACTTGAGCAAATATATAAAACAAAAAGTTAAAACAAAACTTGATGATAAAATTAGAAAGATCAGAAGAGGATTTGAATTTGAAATATATGTACATATATATAATTATTTAAATTTATTACTATAAAGGTTATCAATAACAGACAGTATGTTCATATTATTGCATTCAAATAAATATAAGTATAAACAGTTTAGAATATAAAATGTAGTACATTAACATTGGAATCAATGTACTAATATTTTATACTAATCTAACTCAATTTTGTATAATTAAACACTATAACATTTCTTGTATTTTTAAATTTCAATATATTTTGGTATTTAAAACGTTTGTATATAAAAATGAGAATTACTTTTGTTTAAATATTTAACTATTTCAATCATATATATAATAATTTGAGTTATATTTACATATTTCTTTTTTAGAATGAATTAGAAACAGAATACAATATTGATGTATCTGAAATTAAGAAAAATGATGAATTATCTTTATCAGAGGATGAACTTAAGAAAGGTAATGTTATTTATTTTGTAATATAAAATTAGTTATAAGGAAATATTAATATTGTTATATTTTAGATACATTTAAAACTAAACAAAAGAAATGTAAAAAGAAAAATGTTATTAAAGAAAATAATGAAGAAACAATTAACTTTGAGGAATATTCTAATACAGAGTCTCATGCAACATTTTACCAAATGAACTTATCACGTCCTTTGTTAAAGGTATAATATGAATTTATTAAGATATAAAATATATAATACAAATTCAAAGGTATAAAGTATAATATATCCTACAATTATACATTAATTTTTAAATACTAATTTATAATATATATTTATTTTTAAAGGCTATAACAACTATGAATTTTGTACATCCAACACCTATACAAGCTGCTACTATTCCTATTGCATTAATGGGTCGTGATATATGCGGTTGTGCTGCTACAGGTACTGGTAAAACTGCAGCTTACATGTTACCAACTCTAGAAAGGTTATTATATAGACCATTAGATGGTCCTCTTATCTCTCGTGTTCTTGTACTTGTTCCAACAAGAGAACTTGGTGTACAAGTGTACCAAGTTACAAAACAGTTATCCCAATTTACAACAATTGAAGTAGGATTATCTGTTGGAGGTTTAGATGTAAAAGTTCAGGTGTATAGATTATGACAAATTAAAATATTACTAAATATATAGTAACATAAATAAGTTTTTGCTATATTTATTATTACTATTTAATTAGGAAGCTATATTAAGGAAAAATCCAGATGTTGTAATAGCTACTCCTGGAAGATTAATTGATCATTTGAAAAATGCTCCTACATTTTCATTAGATAGTATTGAAGTACTTATTTTAGATGAAGCAGACAGGTAAATTAAAAGAATATATGTAAATAATATTTCTTTCAAATCATACTTTGCTGAACAGATGAAGTACATTATAAAACAATGCTCAAGAAATAGACAAACAATTTTATTCTCTGCTACTATGACTGAAGAAGTGAAAGATTTGGCTGCTGTATCTTTAAATAAGCCTGTTAAAGTATTTGTAGATAGTAATCAAGATGTTGCTTTTAATTTACGTCAAGAATTTATTCGGTAATATTATGTCTTATACGGTTAAAAGAGGTATTTGTATGCTTATTTAATATATTCATTTACTATATGTTTTTATTATAGCATACGGAAAGAAAGGGAAGGAGATCGGGAAGCAATTTTAGCTGCCCTTGTTTGTAGAACTTTCCATGATCATGTCATGGTTTTCGTACAAACAAAAAGGCAAGCCCACAGATTACATATTTTATTAGGATTGTTAGGTATCAAGGTATCTAAAATATAATTTACTTTAATAAGTATTAAAATTAATATTAAAATAAATTAAAATATTTATATTACAACTAACATAAAATAATTTCTTTTTAATAATCATTACATATAATTTGTTAGGTTGGCGAACTTCACGGTAATCTTACACAACCACAACGTTTGGAAAATTTAACAAAATTTAAAAATGAGGAAATAGATATTTTATTAGCAACAGATGTTGCTGCGAGAGGGTTAGATATTAGTGGTGTGAAAACTGTAATTAATTTTGTAATGCCAGCTACCATGCAACATTACATTCATAGGTATCAATGTTTAATTTACTTGTACTTTTACAAGTACCTATTATAGAAAGATATAATTACTTTATAATTATATTTTTCTATTTATTAGAGTTGGAAGAACAGCTAGGGCTGGTCGAGTTGGAGTATCAGTATCATTAGCTGGAGAACAAGAACGTTCTTTAGTTAAAGATATTATTAAAAATGCAAAAAATCCAGTGAAAAATCGAATAATACCTCCTGATATAATTGACAAGTATTACAAAAAATTACAATCTCTTGAACCTGATGTGGAAAAAATTTTAGAAGAGGAACGAAATGAAAGGGAATTGGCTAAAATAGAAAATCAAGCAAACCGTGCAGAGAAGCTATTAAAAAATGAAACTAATAAAGGTATTCAAAGAACTTGGTTCCAGACTCAGAAAGAAAGAAAAGAGGAAAAAGGTTATTTTAATTTTTATTTTCCATGTAAAATTATAATTGTACAAAAATTACATGTGGTGCATACATTGTCAAAATAATTTATATCATTTTTAGAAAAATTATCATTAACCGAGAAACAGTTAAATACAAATAAAGGGGAGAAAAGACGAAACAAAGAAACTTCAAATATAGTTGAAGAGAAGAAAAAGAAATCTAAGGAACCTAAAAAAGAAACGCCAGAAGATAGAGCTAAAAGAGAATTAGAAAAAATTGCAGCATATCAAGCAAGATTAGCTAAAAGGAAAAACAAACAAAAGAAAATTAAAACAATTATGGAAGATAATAAATCTGTATCTAATAAAAGAGGTATTTTATAGTACATTATGTTTTTGAATTCCAAAATACTATTCTGGTTTAATAATACCAACTCTATTTCAGCATCACTAAAACGACCAAAATCTTCATTTGCTGCCGACTTAACGGATACAAGTAAAAGAGCTGTGAAGAAAATGCGTTATGAGTAAGTATTTTAATAGAATAAAATAAAATAAAGTATAAAATATAGCGAATGTTAAAAAGAATCAAAGTAAAAGAAAAGGTGCAAAAAATATAAAAATAGGAAATAAGGATAATAGAAAAACTATTAGAAAACGTTAAATCAAATTTTGATATCTGTAATTACATCTTATTAAATACATACCATTTTACTTAATTTGTTTTATTATAGAACCGTTACAATGCGTCTCTTATGTCTCACAGATTGACAGATGAATAGCACTGATTAATTGGTTTTTTTTTCATCAGAATGTGTATACTTTGTAGTCTATAACCTGTTTGAAAAAATTGCAGTACTATGCAATTAAATACTTATAAAAACATAGACATTTGATAATAATGTTATAAAATACAATGCAGTGTAATTCAAGACAATTTTTAAATTATTTTAAGAAATATCAAATGAATTTTTATATAGCTAAAACAGTAACAATGCACTGTTGATGGTGTATAAACAATGCTTCATGCATGAAAAATAAAGAACGACTCACAAATGTTTAAAAAAAAAAATAAAAATTTGCAAAATTTGCATTGTACTGTAATTTCAGTGAAGAGGTAATAGGTATGTGTTACTCCTATAATGTTTATATAATAAAATCAAACATTCATCGCCATTCACAGCCTCATACACAATTCTCATTCTCATCTTAAGGTTTAATACAGTTTAATGCTTAATACTAAGAATTCTAATGATGAAAAAGAAAATTTTATAAAACCTAGGCCCATTTTAAATTATTTGAATTTTATTCAAATTTGTATCCAATTTCCTGAGTTTTTTGATAACAAATAAAAATATATTTATTTTTAGTTTTAGATATCAAATAATCTTTGTAAATAAAATTTTACAGTTAGTTTATCAACACAAAAGTTTTAATTATTTTTGATTATTGTATTTGTAAAATAAAAAATATTATTTTTAAATTATCTCATACAAATATATCATATTTAACACAATTGACAATATATAAAATAAGAAGCATTTATGCACGTAAGATTACTATTATATAAATATTTATAAATGCAATGGATGTTTTCTAGCATCTTATAAAATACAAGATAAAAATATACAAATTTTTAATTTATTCAAAATATTTATAAAATTATTAAACATATTCATCAATTTACCAGAACAATACTTTTACCACATTATACAAAAATGTTTCTGGATACAAATTTGAATTAACGTGATACGAAAGTAGTTTATAATAAATATACAATAATGACAGTGATGCAAGAATAACTGTCATGTTCGAGGATGATAAATTTTAATCGATTACTGGATTGGTGATGCATTGTCGTTACTTTTTTATAACAAAAATTGTTTATGAATAATTTTTTATGCTAATGCGCACTATTCATCGAAGATATATTTATATGTATACATGTATTAGATACTATTGAAATATTTATAAGGACACCTTGTCTGAAATAAATTAATAATTAGTGGTCGTGCGCTGACCAAATCTCATTTAAATTAATTTTAGAATAAAAATATAAACAGATAATTTTATGAGAAAATACGTATTTTCTCAGAAAATAATGGTTATCAAAACTATGTCATTTTTTCAATAAAATAATAATAATAATAATATTAATAATATTAATAATAATGATGATGACGATAATGATAATGATATCAATAATAATTATAATCGTAATAATAAAAATAATAATAACAATAATAATAGAAATAATAAAAATAATTGTAATAATAATGATAGTAATAATAAGTAGCAGTAGCAGTAGTAGTAGTAGTAGTAGTAGTAGTAGTAGTAGTAGTAGTAGTAGTAATAATAATAATAAAAATAATGATAGCAATAAGGTAATAATATTAATAATATAATATAATATAATAAAATATAATAATAATGATAATCAAATTAATAGAAACAAACAACTTTGGATCACAAAGCCAATTGACACACACCCTTTTGTCTAGTACACAATGTTTACAGAAATCCAACAACGTTATGTTGTTCTCTTCTGCGTATGAAAATTTAATGAATTGTATCATTTCGATGTACTTTGTATAATAAATGTCATTTTCGATTATTTTTACTGATAATTATAATTAAGTTTGATGATATTGTGTATGGATTTTTTACTATTTGGAAATAGTTTGTTACAAAAATTTTGTACACAGTCTCATTGATCTATGAAGAAAAATACGCATGAAATAGTATAAACACTTGTATTCATCAATGCAAAAGTGAACAATACAACAATTGTCAGATATTTCATGAGGAAGAAAGACCTTAAAGTGGGAAACATTTTCCAAGAGTTATGTAGAAAAGATGATGGTTATACAATTATTAAGTTTAAAGGATGATATTTTGTTATCATTGAATGTGCCATTGCTTTTCTTAACACATAGAGAAATAAAAAGAAAAACATGTTCATGTTTCTTTTCATAATTAAAACAAATACATCTTCCAAATGGTCAAATACTAAATTTTTAATTTTCTTACGAATGTGATGCAACTCCATAAAACTTTTTGACTTGTAAGCTTACATGTATTAATTATTTGACGTTAATGTATCATTATCTTAACATCTTACTGTCTAGACATACGCGAACGACAGGTTTATTAATTGTTGTACATAACCAAAATATTCTGTTTTCTAATTTGTAAAGTATTTTTAGATTCTTTAATTCTTATGATCATCACGTCCCTTAAGTCTTTCCCCTATTCCTAACATCCCCTTGAATACAGTTTATTCACTTAATTATTTATTTACTTTATCTGATTCTCTTAATGCCCTCTTTGCTGGTGGTTCTTCGATCTAAAAATTATATTTTTATTATACAACAGATCACAAATATAAATTTGTTTTTACTTACTTCTTCCTCTAAACCAGGTAATTGAATTCTAGTTTCTGATGCTTCTGCTGGCTGTAAATAAATTTAATGCATTCTACATCATGTACAGTCTTGAAATATGAAATAAAATATATTATAAAATAAAAAATATAAGTTTAATATAAATATATTTTAAATAGTTTTACCTGTGCATCAATACATTCCACTTCTCCAATTTGCAGCTTGAAATTATATATACTCACAATTTTTTTAAGGCTATTATTTATATATACCATTTATACAAAAATGACAAATGTAATAAAAAAATGTTGTCTAAATTATACTTTATAATTATACGTTATTCTCTAGATTATTTTAATTATCTTACCCTTGCATCAGTTTCATTTGGACCAATGCCTACTTCCTTTTGTTGTTTGGACTTAGCCCTACGTTGTGGTCTATCGCTGACAGAATGTGTATTATGAAGCGAAACTTTTCCTTTAGGACTCGTCATATTTATTTGCATTTCAGCAGGTAAATAATTTCTAGTATTGGTCAGCAATTCATCCGCTCGCTTAAAGTACATAGTGGGTATTCGTGTTTCACTTGGAAATTCCTTCATATCGAAATTTGTCGTTTTTGTATATATCACATTCATAGCCAAATCACAAACAGCCCACAATTTCTGCAAATATATAGTAAATATTATAAACTGTTTATATTTAATTTATAAGTAATAAATAAATTATTAAGTTTAAAGGATGATATTTTGTTATCATTGAATGTGCCATTGCTTTTCTTAACACATAGAGAAATAAAAAGAAAAACATGTTCATGTTTCTTTTCATAATTAAAACAAATACATCTTCCAAATGGTCAAATACTAAATTTTTAATTTTCTTACGAATGTGATGCAACTCCATAAAACTTTTTGACTTGTAAGCTTACATGTATTAATTATTTGACGTTAATGTATCATTATCTTAACATCTTACTGTCTAGACATACGCGAACGACAGGTTTATTAATTGTTGTACATAACCAAAATATTCTGTTTTCTAATTTGTAAAGTATTTTTAGATTCTTTAATTCTTATGATCATCACGTCCCTTAAGTCTTTCCCCTATTCCTAACATCCCCTTGAATACAGTTTATTCACTTAATTATTTATTTACTTTATCTGATTCTCTTAATGCCCTCTTTGCTGGTGGTTCTTCGATCTAAAAATTATATTTTTATTATACAACAGATCACAAATATAAATTTGTTTTTACTTACTTCTTCCTCTAAACCAGGTAATTGAATTCTAGTTTCTGATGCTTCTGCTGGCTGTAAATAAATTTAATGCATTCTACATCATGTACAGTCTTGAAATATGAAATAAAATATATTATAAAATAAAAAATATAAGTTTAATATAAATATATTTTAAATAGTTTTACCTGTGCATCAATACATTCCACTTCTCCAATTTGCAGCTTGAAATTATATATACTCACAATTTTTTTAAGGCTATTATTTATATATACCATTTATACAAAAATGACAAATGTAATAAAAAAATGTTGTCTAAATTATACTTTATAATTATACGTTATTCTCTAGATTATTTTAATTATCTTACCCTTGCATCAGTTTCATTTGGACCAATGCCTACTTCCTTTTGTTGTTTGGACTTAGCCCTACGTTGTGGTCTATCGCTGACAGAATGTGTATTATGAAGCGAAACTTTTCCTTTAGGACTCGTCATATTTATTTGCATTTCAGCAGGTAAATAATTTCTAGTATTGGTCAGCAATTCATCCGCTCGCTTAAAGTACATAGTGGGTATTCGTGTTTCACTTGGAAATTCCTTCATATCGAAATTTGTCGTTTTTGTATATATCACATTCATAGCCAAATCACAAACAGCCCACAATTTCTGCAAATATATAGTAAATATTATAAACTGTTTATATTTAATTTATAAGTAATAAATAAATTAATACAATTACATAATTCATGTTATTATCCTCAGACTTTAAAGCATCTTTATGACTTTTCATACGTTCTATGAGATTTTTATAAAAACCATAGCAATAATATTCGTTTTTTGTTATAAGAGGTTCTAATATAAACCATAAACATTGTTGTGTCACTTTCAACTGATTAACCATCAGATGACTTGTGAATTCAGGATCATGTGCAAGAATAGGGACTGCAAATACTAACATATAGTCAGGTAGAATATGAGGCAATTGACCTGTAATAACAATTAAACAAAATAATTTATATTCATCTTTTTAATAATACACGTTTAATATGAAAGAAAAGAATAATATTAAACAATATTTCGATAATGCCTTACTATTTAGTTTCTTACCCATGGCCCGTTCGACTGTACCCAGTGACAACGTCTTAACGTAATCCCTCCTTTTATTTATATCGGTTTGCATGTAAGTTTTTAAAACACATTTTAGTCTTTTATCTTGTTCCTTGCCCGCAAGCGCATAATAGCCCATAAAATCTAGTGGCAAACATTTATTTGGGATTCCTCTTCCAAGTCCTTTATGCAATTTGCTACCAAAAGCTTCTCTTACTTGTGGCACTTCATCCTACAAATCAATTTATAATAAAAACACTTTTTTATAATTTATTCCATTGACTTTTAAAAATAAGATTTATATTTATATATACATAAAATTTATTAAGAAGGAAAAATAACAATTTTATAATTTATAAAAACGTACCACCATGAGTTGAGACAAATTATAGAATTGTTCTGCTGTGAATTGATCACCAACACCTTTCTGTTCACATATTTTCAACATTGAACAACCAGCTTGTAATCGTAACCAACTCATTTCTGCCTTACTTAAACGACCTTGTTGCAAAAGATCTCCTTTGTTTACTACAAATGCATTTAGCATTCGAAACGTTTTTTGTGCAGAGAGCACATCAGTCTTCAATCCTAGTAACCAGCGTGCCATACACTTTAATCCTTCTAATCTACAACGTGTTTCTTCAGGTAATTGATCTTCCCTGCACCAGTCTCCTTCAACAGTATCAGCAGTTTGTTCACTGCTTTCTTTTACTAACAACTCCTTGACTATCTATAAATTTATTACACTTAAGTTGAACTAAATTATATTATTATTTTTAAATAATAATTCCCACGTAGAACTTACCTTTCTAGACACCATATTTTTTATTTGTACTTGATACTTTTCTGGTAAATTATAAGCTATATGACCTAATGTAACTATAGATGTTCGATAATATTCTGAAGTTGGTGTGAGGCTATTTTTAATTCTTTCAATAATTTCAGGAAAAATGGTATCATGAATATTGGTCATATTAACAAATAAACACCTAACAGCTTGCTTTGCTTGTTTTGGTGTTCCCGTTTCTGCGAAATTTTTACATATTGGAACCATAAGGTTCATAATATCTGGTGCAACATCACATAAAGGTTTATATTTTCCTAAAAATGTGAAGATTGAAAGAACCAATGGTGCTACCATTTCATCTTCTAATTCCAAAAGATGTACAAGTTGCATCAGAATATCGTTGTGGAGAAAATGTGGACCAAATACAAAAGAAAGCATCTAGAAGAAAACATTAAATATACATTTAAGAATAAATTAATAACAAATTATGAAGATGTCTTTATGAAATAAAGTTATAAGCATACCACGAGTAACCTCAGACCCTTTTCACCTGCATTATTTGGATTAAGCCCAACTTCTTCTATTACATTACCGCCTTTTAAACAATCTAATACATATCCAATTAGAACCTGACAAAGTATAACTAATGTAAACAATATAAACACAAGTTAAATATATTAACAAATATTTGTATATATTTTACCCTAATTGCTTCTTCATCAATCATTACAGAACTGACTCTTTCTAATAACATTTTTATTGTGTTGTAGTACAGATTTGTCATAACAGGTTGACCTAACTTTTTGAGAACCATACTTATTGTATCTGCACACTCTTTACATGAAACATTTGGTTGGACTATTGTTTCCATTCCTTGTAATAATGCTGAATCTTTCCTCATGTGAGCACTAAACTTTTGTAAAAATTCTTGCACTTTCATAGGATCTGGTAGAAAACGAGATATCTGGTGAATTTTAGCAACAAGTTCAACCATTGCATCCGGTTTTTTTACGATTTCCAACCATTCAACCACTGCTCTTCGCACACTAAAAAGTTTGATATCAAAATGCAAAATGAACGTATGAAAAGTCATAAAAAAAAAAAAAAAAGAAAAGAAAAGAAAGAAGAACTTACGCAAGCTGATGCTTTTGTAGTTCTACAAATGCTTTAGATGCATGATCGTCAATTGTACCTAATAAATGATACAATTTTTTCATTCTTTCACCAGCTGGTAGTTGATAAGGTACTAAACAAGTGTTTAATAATCTTTCTACCAATAATCTATCTTCCATGCCAGCCATATAATAACCATGTAATATTTTATCTTTTATCCAAGTAACAGCCTTTTTTGTAGCTTGTGGTACGTCTGCATCATTCAAATGTTTTTTATATATCATTGCTAATCCTGCCATTGCTTCTTTCCTGATTTTAAACTGAAAATTACAATAATTGTTAAAATACATCATATTTTATATTTTACATAAATAATTGAATTCGTATAAAAAAAAATAACCTGCCTTTTTATCTAAAGTTCTTTCTTTAACAAATTCTAATAAATCTTCACTATCTGACACCACTTCAAAATCCCTTCTGGCAGTGGTCACTATAGCCATAACAACTTCATATCGAACACTTTCATCAGCATCATGTTGTCTTAATTTTAGGGTATCAGTAATATCCTTTCTTAGTTCAGGATGATTTAATAAAAAATGCATTGAATACTGCACACATTTGATACGAATTGATACACTGATGTCATTAAACCTTCCTAAAAATGCGCGCCATAGTTGCGTATGTTGCACAGCTAATTGAGATCCTTTTTCAGAGAACATTCTTGCTAACAATGCTACAGCACCCAATCTTTCGGTTTCAGAAGAAGATTTTAATTTACATTCTAACTGTGGTAGGACGGACAACAAGACGCTTGGACATATGTGATTCAATTCATAAATTAAATCATATACTTTCTTACAAATTTGTAAGCTTTTTTCTTCCTTGCCCAAGATCAATACATGATTAAAGAACTATGAATTTTAAAATATAAAAAATTTGGTATTATTATTTGTTACCTTTTCGTTTTATAGGTATATAAATAAAAAAATATTTAAGTTTTATTTTACTCACCGCTTGAATGTATGGTTCTAATGTATCACTACATTTAATTACAAGTTCTTTTGCAAGTAAATATGCATTCTTCTTTTGTGTTTTGTTTGGTTCTACAATATTCATAAGTATAATGTCTAAAAGTTCATTACTAACAATGTCTGATTCTGTAATAAGTGGACATAACACATCTAACATAAAACTTTTGACTTTTCCAGAATGTTCATCACTAAAATTGAAATAATTATAAAATTACTTAATACTTGTTTACATATTAGTTATTAGTTATTAATTATAATTATGAACTATTTAGGTTTATATATTGTATGTCATAATCTTCTTATACTCACTTTACTATCCTAAACATAAGAGAAAAGAGTGCGCAGAATATCTCTTGACAGTCCTCTAATTCAAAGCACATATTAAATGATTTCACATATGCCAAATTTTCCAAAAGGTAAAAATATCTTTTAAAAGCAGGATCTTTGGGATCTTTCAAACCAGCTAATTGTTTAATCAAAAACAAGAATATTGTTTTGACCTATGATGAATAAAATTTTAATTTGCTATTAAATTAAACTTTGGAAATTAAATAAATTTTTAAAAGATATAGAATGAAAGTGCTTATATAAAATAGCCTCTACTTTGGTTATAATTAATCAATTTTTTATTACCTGTTCTGCATCTTTATACGGAGCTTCTGGAGCATAAACCCTTAAAACATCAGCAATACAGCAAGCAATCAAAAGTTGCACATCTTTACTTTGATGCATTAAAAAATGTTCTTCTGCCAAATGTAATGCAAGTGGTATATATTGTTGATACATTCCTTCATCTTGACCCATTGCTTGTAATGTATGAGCTAATGTCTATTTAACAAAATTTGTTTATCAGTTAGTATCATTTACTTTATTTAACATTTCTTTGTTTTCATATATAAAAAATAAATTTTATCGGATATACCTTTAATCTTCTAATAAGTTCATCTGGACCCAGATCTTCCGTAACAGATCTGCACCCTTGCGGGTAAACTATTTCTGACATGTTTGTTAAAGGATTTAACCAAATATGAGAAACTTTATATCCTTAAAATAATCTAGAATACCGTCCAAATTCTGGAATATTATATATTTTATTAGCTATTGTTTTACAACTTTTAAAATATTATTTTTAAAGATTTAATCAATAAAAATATTTTGATACGTAAAAAATGTTCTAAACAATTATATTATGTCATTTCTGAAATCATATTTTGATAATTTAATATTCATAATTTAATTTATGCAACAATTTACAATATAATATTGATTTTTATACAATACTTAAATAATTATATAATATAATAAAATAATATAAAACTTACAATGTTAAAATAAAAGAAACAGACATACTATCAATAAACAAAGAAAATAAAATTAATCAGAAAGAAAGATAAACGTTAATATTTGTTACTACTGAATTAATAATTTCTATTTCTATACACTGCAACTGTTTTAATATCAACACAAATAACAAGCAGAAAGTTATACATATACACAACAAGTACAAATCATATAACAGAAATATAACTTAAATTAATTAGTTGAAAGATAAAATAACATACTAATTTATATTCATCTATATAAAAATATGGCAAAGGTATTTTAAAACAAATTAGAATTAAGCATCACGTAGGTTATGTCTACGATTCGTGCATAAATATAAGAAAACAATGTAAACAGTATTACTATTTAGCACACTTACAGAGATAAAGAATTTTATAATACATTATTGTACAAAAAATGTCGAATATTATATCTATTAGAGGACGTATTACCTCAGGATATGCATAGGCACCACAAGGCCTGTGACACTCAAAATATCAATAAAGCAAATATATGTGATGGATACACGGCACTCTCTTAGTTTTTGGAGTTCACACACTTTCACGCTGTAATTATTACTAAGTGCGAATATATCGCCTTCGACGTAACTTTCTGAATTTTTTGTAAATATTTGGCATGGTAAAACGATCAAAATGTCAACAAAAATGTAGCGAAATCGTTTTCGTAAACGGTTAAGCGTGTCAAAGGACGCGACAGCGCAATTCGATCACTTGAAGTCATCTACATTTAACTTTATCGGGGAATACTTCAGACTCAAGTGGTTAAACAACACTAACATAAAAGTACCGAAAGGAAAGTAACGGTAATTCTATTGGTTAAAATACATGGGAAAACATGCTGCACCAATAGTGCAATGATCTTGTTATATACATATGAACAAAGTTGAACCATAACCTGATGGAGAATTCTAATGAAAATTATATTTAAATATATGTAATTTATGGAAGATTTTAGAACACGCAATTTTTTAAATAATTTATAATTATTTAAATAATAAGTAATATAGAAATGAATTAATTTTTAAATATTATATATTTTATTAATCATTTTTTGTTTGTAAACTATTCTAATGACGTAGATAATGAGAAAATCTAAATATCGACTTTGATTTTTGAAACGTAGATTAGTATAGAATTTAATAATATAGGAGTATTGTTTGTATGCAAGTGTAATATTTATCATATAATATACTGGAAGATTCATAAAAAAAATATTTTCATCAATTACAGTACAGTATAGTTGAGTTGTATTTAACCGGAAATCATATTGTTTCGTATCTCTTTCTGTTTAGCACATGCAACGTGCACATGCATTGGTTCAGCGCTGATCAGTTTTATTTAAAAAGAAATTGATCATCTCGACCAAGAAAACAATTAAACAATGGTATGTAATTATTTCAATAATTTTATGGTTCGAATAAGATTTTTAAATAAATATTTTTAATGCATTGTAAATTTTTTTATATAATAAGTTTGGTTTGTTAGGTTAGTTGTGTGTTTAGACACGCGGTTTACAACATAAACCTGGTTTTCACTTAATACTATTAATTTCCTTTATCAAACAATATTTTAGACAAGTACAAAAGTTGACAACCCTGAAAAACCAGGACAAGAAACAACTCCTATTCACAGAATCAGGATTACGCTAACTTCACGAAATATACGCTCTCTTGAAAAAGGTAAATTATTTTCTATATTATATTTATATTATTTTATATAAATTATTGTTACATAATTATTTAATAAGTCGTATTATTTCAGTTTGCACGGAATTGATTAATGGAGCAAACAAACAAAAGCTGAAGGTTAAAGGCCCAGTTCGTATGCCTACAAAG